TCTTACATACTACGAAAATTGGTACAATTATCTATCAAAACATAAACAATATTAATATTTGTTACAATACCACTTTATCAGTACAGATTTTAAAACATCTGTACATAACAGTTGAATGTTTTAATAAAGGACTTCGTAATGCACTAATCTTTATTGATAAATTCCGATCGCGTGTATTATTGTTTAAAAGGTAACTCACTTATAGTTTATTGTAACGTATAACCTTATACAATGACTACATCATAATTGTAACAGCACAATTGTTACTCGTCAAAATTCTAGCTTTTATTTTAATATAATGCTACAGTTTAATAATGTTTCTAAAATTTAATATTTCTTCAAAACATTCATTCGAGTTTCATTAAAACATTTTTCTGCTACAGATTGTTGTACCTAAGTACACTATTTGAAACAATCGTGATAGATAAATACATAGATTTTAAATTACAGAACTTATAACGTCTATAACTATAATTTTTTGAAATAATGTAAATACTTTCACAAAATTGTATAATACCAGTTTGTTATTTACAATTAACTTTAATACCGATTACAGAGATAAATAATTAAATTGTCTTTTGCAATTGGCAGGGAAAAGGAAAATCATACAGATACATTTCTATAAATTTGACTTTAAATGATCAGATAATATAGAAAATTAAAAAATTGTTCTGAATTAAAATTTCCCGAGATTACCATATGAGAAACTTGATTTACAATGACAAATACAATTAAAATATAGAAAATAATAAACTCAGACATTGTCTGCCATTATAAATATTATATATACTTTAAAGTATCAAAATAAATGTTACAGAAAAATTATAATTACTTATATTTCATTTTCCCTACTGTAATTTTGATCAAATGTATTACTTATCCTACATATTCCACAGATCATTTCCGCATTGTATTTTAGCATTTTCTTTATATCATAATAAAGCAAAATCACAGTATGAAATTCTTGCTTGTGCAATGATAGCTTTTGATTTATGCGCATTTTCCTTTTAATTTTACATTAAACAAATTACAATCATGTAATTTGAATAATTTTCAGGACTTAGATTATACGTATGTCTGCGAAGGAACACAAACAATTTGTTTGACAATTCCTTTACTTGTACACTTCTTTTGAACGCTTTAACATGAGGCATGTATTTAATGGAATTATATACATATATATATATATACATGTATATATATATATATATGTATGTATGTATGTATATACAATTCATTATATATAAAAAAAATGATTGACTGATTTTCTCAATAAAAAAAATACATATGGTAATTTTTGGCCTATTATAGCTATCACATACAATACAAAGAAGACACTATTGATGGAATAAACTTAATAGTGCTGAATTCCCATCTTGGACGCTGAAATGTATTGTACATGGACAATACGAATATAAATTACATTAAATTTAACCCATTTACATTAAATAATCTTTTCGCTTTGATGTAATAAAAAGAAGTTAATATAGTTTTAAATCTGTCGTAATTCGCAAAATAAGTTTTCGATAATAATTCTATAGTTAAAACAAGTAATTTTATAAGCATAAATGGATTAATTAATCTTTAATATTCTTCATTCTTAAATAAAAGTTTTAAAAGACTTATTATTAACTTTTAATATGGAATACTATTGTACGATAGTTCATGACATACAGTGATGTGCAATTTTTCATTTAATAACAAAATAATGCTGCAGCAAAATGCTCACCATCTCCAATTCATAATCATCTGCCAATAGGGCCTCTTCCTCATCCTTGCCTAGATCGTATTCGTCATCTCCAAGGTCTTCATCCAGTAAAGTATCATCGCTACAGTAATAAACATTGAGACATTTCAAAAAGGAAAAGTAATAATTTTGTTAAATAAAAATATTTTAATCTTGCTTAGAGCATAAACAGGAAGTTTAACGATCTGTTTATAAACATTCGTGCCAAATGTAATTCTACTGGTGTTTGACTGAATGATGTAAATGGGTTAAAAAATAGTATACAGCGCATGTTGTAAGTAAGAATGGTATTACATTCGGTACTTATTTCTCACAAATGTACATTCTATGAAATATAAGTGTAATAATTTACAAACGTAGGAAAAAATAGTGTAATGAATGATGTTTTATAAGACACAATATAAGTACGTCATTAACAGAAACGATGGTTACTCTAACCTCCACTCTTATTAAGATAATCAAGGGTTATTTAAGGAGAAATACGAATATGCAGTCATAAAAAATATCCTCACTGATGTAGGAAGATTAAAGTAATAACAAGAATATTCATATCTCAAAATAGTAGAAGGGAAATCTCTTACTGTTCCGACATTCTACATGCAATCCTTGATACTTGAGTGAAAGTCCGCAGTCTGTGATGGCTACGAGACAGTAAGCTTTGCGTGGGTCGCATCGATAAAATACTTCGATATATCGTTTTTATTTATCGAATTCTCAAAAACTTCTCTCGATTCTAAATGTTCATGTTTTTCTTCAGTTTCGTTTGAAAACAGTTTTTCGCATTTCATTCTTGCCATCATATTGTGTAATTATTGTACAATGTAATAAAAAATACCATATATTATAGAGAACTTTATTTATTTTATTTACATGACGACTAACAGCATTACTATTTTTAATAATATAAACTTAATGTTGATTTAAATAAAGGAAAATAGTATCCCTTACTCTTTCTTCGTGTAAGAACGCCTAATATGACTTGGTAAGAACAAACGCGTACAGCACGTGGATACTTACATTTAAATCTAAATAGCATTTAAGGTATAAATGCCATGTGGAATCGAATTTTAACCGAACAAATAATATTATTAAAATACTGTTTTATATAGATTAAATCTGGGTAATAACTAAATGAAATAGTTTTATATTTTGATTTAGAGAGGGAGAGAGAAAGGGAGAAAAGGAAACTTTCGTACGCATGCGCATATGCTGTTGATTGAATTTCAACGCTACAGCATGGAAGGCTACTCCGTGTGCGATGCGTTGAAAAACGGATTCCCAAAAGGAATGTTGAAGCTTTATCGTAATGTCAATTCTTTGCGGTGACAGCACTTAAGACTTTAAATTAATATTAATTTGACTTAATATTTATACCATTGATTATTTAAATATACACATATTGTAATTAAAGATATGTTTCAAAGGCCTACTTAAAGAGACAATGATTCGGAATATGCACGTGTTACATTATAAATGTTTGTTGAAACATTCGTTGAATCTGAATGCTTTAACATGTCCTTATGGAAGAAATTCAAATTTATTAAAAATGTTTTTACACGATAAACCAGCTATAATCTTAGGAATAGAATCCAGTTGTGACGATACAGGTTGTGGAATTGTTGATAGCACGGGGGCTGTATTAGGTGAAGCTATTAATTCTCAACATCATACTCATTTAAAGTAATCGGAATTGAAATGATTGTTAATAAAATTGATTATATCATTGATAAAAATTATTTTCTAATAGTTATTTTATACTGCTAGTTATGGGGGAATAGTTCCTACAATTGCTCGTTCATTGCATGTAAATAATATTACTAAAGTCTGCGAAGATGCATTGAGATCTGCAAATTTGAAGTTAAGAGACGTTAGTGCAGTGGCTACAACTACAAAACCTGGTCTACATTTGTCACTTACTGTTGGAATAAAGTTTGGAAAGCATTTAGCAAAAATTGCCAAGAAACCTTTTATACCTATACATCATATGGAAGCTCATGCTTTGACAGTACGAATGAAAGAGAAGGTCTGTTGATAAATATCAGTACTTATTACATGAATTTTAATAAACAGGTATAAAGTAAAATTAAACTTTTTATGTTTAGGTCGATTTTCCTTATCTTGTTCTATTGGTTTCTGGGGGTCATTGTTTACTTGCAATTGTAGAAAATACAAATAAATTTTATTTACTTGGAACCACTCTTGACAATCCACCTGGAGAAACTTTTGATAAGGTAAAAAGAATGATATCTTCTCTTTTCATGTTGTATTATTGTAAATTTAAATAAAAGTTTTCTCTAGTTGCTATAATTTGAGATAAATTTACATTCGCAGATTGCTCGAAGACTCAAATTGAAAAATATTCCAGAATTTAGTACTCTTAGTGGAGGCTTAGCTATAGAAACTGCAGCACGTAAAGCATCAGATATTAACCAATTTGAATTTCATCCTTCGATGTATCGGTATTGTGATTGTAATTTTAGTTTTGCTGGACTATATACTAAATGTACAACTTACATTGAAAAAGAAGAAAAAAAACATGGCATAATTGCAGATATGATAATACCTGATGCATATAATTTATGTGCAGCATTTCAGTTAGCTGCCATAACACATATATGTCGGAAAACTCAAAGGGCAATGAAATTTATAGATGAAATGTCATTATTTCCTCAAGAGAAACGAACATTGGTACGTTTAAATGTATTAAATCAATTAAATTGTATATAATATTTAATTGTTATTTTATTAACCAGGTTGTATCAGGGGGTATGGCGTGCAATGATTTTTTAGCTAAAGCATTAAATATTGTAAGTACAGAATCAGGTTTTAATTTCGTAAGAACGCCACCTGAATTATGCACAGATAATGGAATAATGATTGCATGGAATGGAATGGAAAAATGGATGACGGATACAGATATTATTGAGAATGAAAGTGACATTGATAAAGTGGCTCTAGCAGAGAAAGCTCCATTAGGAGAAAATTGGGTAGACAAAGTAACAGCAGCAAACATAAAGTGCAAGTGGGTAAAAATAAGAGAGAAACTCATTTAAACAATTTAATAAGAAAGCATGTAATGTCTTAATAAAATTATTACTCTATATAGAGATTTATGTAAGTATTATACAAGTGTAGGTGTATATCGTTGTATTTTCCTTTCTAATTTTATTAATAGGTCATCTTCATTTGAACGACCACTGTCTGCATTACATTTTTCTTCTTCATATTTATCAATAATACCTCTTATGTTATCTTTAATTTCGTTTATTTCGTTTGCATTCATTGAAATTAAAGATGTTGGTAAAATATCATCAAATTGTAAAACTTTCTCTGGTTGCATAGATTCATCGAATTCTGATACAATCTCTGATAAATTCTTTAACTTTGATTTGATTTCATCGAACATTTTATTTGAATCTTTTGTGTCCATTTTATTTACTAATAGCATCGAAGGTCTTTCTAATAAATCTGGCTTGTAAAGCTCAATTTCTTTGTTCAAGAGCAGTACAGTTTCCAAACAAGTCCTATGTGTATGTTTATAGGATAACTGAAATCCCTGAATATCCACAATAAACAGTAACAATTTTGTTCTCTCTACATGTTTCAAAAATCTATGACCCATTCCTTTATTAATATGAGCACCTTCGATTAAACCAGGCAAATCTGCGATCGATATTTGCCTGTAATCTTTGTAGCTTATGGTACCTATTTGTGGTTTTATCGTTGTGACTGTGAAAAAAAATGATCTCTAAACATAAGATGACAATAGAATTTGAAATAAATAAAACTTACATGGATAGCTAGCAATTTTTGGTTTTGCTTTGGAAACTACATTTAAAAATGTACTTTTTCCTGCATTAGGAAACCCAACTAAACCAACATCTGCAATTAATTTCAGATCCAGAATTATGGATCGATTTTCACCCTTGAGACCACAGTACCCTGTACTTTCGCAACCTCCTGTACCACCCTTTGCAACCAGAAGTTTCGCTCCATCTGAATTTACTTCACCTACATTATTAACCACATATATATACCTATATGTATACATGGATAAAACTTGTGGTCCGTAATTGAAACTATGAAGTTCAATAGAAAGAGAATATAAACATACATTACCAAGTTTGACATTATTTTCATTGTAAACGGTAATACCAACTGGAACAGATATATTCAAATCCATTCCAGGTTGACCGATAATTCCTCTCCATGTACTTGGATTACCGGGTGCAGCTTTCAGGACTTCCTTTTTCATCTTAGATTTAACTTTCTGCAAAGTTAATCCCTCTTCCGATACAACAAATACATTTCCTCCTGCTCCACCTATTCCACCATAACGAGGAAGTCCAGAACCTCCAGATCCTCCTTTTACATGAATACGTAAACTGTCTAACAAGCCACGACGTTTAAATTTTCGTGGTAACTAAACAGATAATATATGCGTATGTGTATATAGAATAACGTCTAGTCGAATTAATGAATTTTGATCTATTAACGTTAAGAAATCTATTTAAATTGATCTTGTTAGATGACTACCTTGTGCGCGTAACCTAGAATACAGGTCAAGACAACCATTGTTATTCACTGGAAAGCTGTCGTCGAAACGAAGCGACAAGAAAGAAAATCTTTATAAGCAGATAGTGTTTCTGACACGGTTTCTCTCTGTTTATATCATAATATTGCGTAGACAGAGCTAAATTTCATGTAGACGCGATACGCAGCTCCAAAGAAAATCTGAGCATGATTACCATCTCTATCTGTCGTACTGTACGAACGTTGTCTGAAACGGTAATCAGATGGCGCTAAGAAGTTTAACCACACTGAAGCGCGTAGCAGAAAACTAATCACGAATTCAAACATTTAAAAAGGAAATTTTGTATGAAAAGAAAAAACGTTTATTATACGACCTACTGTGGAGTTTGAAACTCATAGAAGAATAATAACAGGTAACCTTTGCAAAACGGTAATTAATTTGAATCTTCAACATTCGGAATAAAAGAAACATTTCTTTTCAGGCATTTCAATCGAAGTATATATGTATGTATTTGATTTCATTATAGAGCAATTTTTGAATCTTAAAATTTTCAAGCACCTATTTGCTAATCGATAAAATTCTATTTTACTCGTCACATAGTTAACGTTTCGTTAGTGTGCGCATCTTTTTTTAGCAATTCGTCATTAACAGTACCATCTACAAAGACATTACCATATAGATCGATTATGTAGTAAGCAAACTATATTGCAAGCTTAATATGTACCAAATTGTTTCGACAGTAACATGCTATAATGTGTATGTAAGATATAAAATAATGCTATCAATGAAATATAACTGGTACGAATTTCAAGGAAACTGCTTCAATTTAAAGGAAGTCCTTCAAAAAACCGATAATCATTATAATCCTTCGAATGACACGTATGTTTTATGCGTAAAAAAAGAAAATTGTATTGATTTCAGTGCAACAAATGTACAACATGTTCCGTAATCCGAAATAATTACAAGCAGAAAGGAGGAAGTTCAACCTGCAATTAGTCCGTTGGATGGCGAATTCTTCTCTTTTTAATCATACCATAAAGTAATAACAATAACGCTACATTTGTCGCGTGTAACAGAAGAAAATGTTAATGTAAGAGAAAGGTAAATCGGTTGGTGGTAGAATGAAACACTACAGACCCGTGCGTATGTTGCGTGTAAAAGTTGTTATTGAACTCAACTAATAATAGGATGTAATTTGGTAGGCTGAAAGCGGAAGAGAAGGAAGAAGAGGAAGAACACGTACGAACGAAGAACTATGGAGGAGGAAGAAATACAAGGAAAGTTGTTACGGGATGTAAGATTGCGACCGCGGTTTCCTAGTGATTTCGGAAGCACGGAGGAACGAATGAAAATTCAAACTGCGTTTCGAAGATATTTCAATCGTTGCGAGTCCGATCGGTGTACACTGCCGGTAGGATGCACCGTCGGGTCAAGTGAAATCAATTGCGAAGTTTAGTGGGAATCAATTGATGCAGAAACACAAGAGATAGCGAGAAGGAGTCGAACGGGGAAAAGAGGTGGGATACATTAACGTGTTTGTGTTCGTTGTTAGAGGAAGCTCTCGGAGGCTCGTCTAACGACGTACGCGTTAAAATTAAATCCAGCCGGAGGCCGACGGCTACGTCTTGTCTACGGCGACGGCGACGGCGACGGCGACGGCGACGGCGACTGCGACGGCGACTGCGACTGCGACGGCGACGGCGACGGCGACGGCGACGACGACGACGACGACGACGTCGCGATGAGATGCGTCCTCTAGCTCAGTCTCAAGAGCACGCCCCGGCTGTACGGGTGTTCTTCGATCTTCAATATTTCTTTTTCTTTCTCCCTGTTGATACCGTCGTGCCTGCATCGCCTGAACTGATCGGTGACACACGTTTCCACGTCTTCTACTTTCGTAATCGGCGAGTTGCTCCGAGTTGGTGTAGACACCCCCGTTCGGATACCATCCGTTACCGAACTCTTCTCTTACCTCTGTTTCTCCTACCGCTACTACTGCTTCGTTCGAGCACGAGGTAATTAACCAAAGAAAAGCAAAGGAAAAGAAATTATGTTTTACTCGTAAGAAACTTTAGGTGCCAGGTTGACGCAAACAGTACAGTGTCCTGATTTTTCACGGGCGATATTATTGGCTCGAGCGAACCGATATTTCACTTTGTTCTATCTTAGAGCGAATTATTTGCTTTTTCCTCGGCACTTTTCAACCGTCAATTCGAACAAGCATCGCACGGTTTCGAACAACTTCTGTCGTTTCGTCGTCGATCGCTTGCACGTAATATCGACGTAACGATCCGAACATGCAATTCACTGTTAATTACGGATTGTACCTATAGTTTTCAATCGGATATTCTTTTACATCGCGTTTCGCATTCGTATCGGCTCGAGGAGCTATATGCAAATTACTTGTAAATGTTCGTCGAACGCGCGGCAAACTATTACCATGCTTCGGATATAAGTTTTGGTGTTGGTTTTTTTGAATGATCGTAGGACAAAGTTTTTGGCCGGGTGGGGAGTTTGTCATCCAGTCACTAGCCTTGATCGCGTGCCAAATAATTGATAGGGAAAGCGTACTGCTGTCACATTCTCGTGCTAATTTTACGTGCAATATCTACAATACGTAATTGACAATTGTCATCTTTATCGGTTCGTTTCGATCGTTACAAAGAAACATTGTCGTTTCTATATATGTGGGCATGCGTATACGTATGTACTTGGCTAAGTAGGTGCATACGTGTATATATTCTTAAGATTCGTTAGCAATCGTAACCCAATGTCTCTTACTACGATTCCCGTTTTAAAAAACCAACAACAACAACAACAACAACAACAACAACAACTAAAGAGATTTATCGAGTGTGCACTTTTTTTTATTGGTGTTGTTACTACAGATGGATCGAGACGATGAGGATTTCGGAGAGGGTTTCATCGCGGAATCTCATCCACTTAGGCCGACGCATCTTTCCGTTCCTCTCGGTGGTCGATCCGATTCTAGAGCACCAAGTATCAGTAGCAGTGTCAGTGATCTAGATGTCCCAATTTACACCAGGGAAACCACTATACCCGTCTCGGCACGTAAAGTGAGTACCATTCAGTACTTTCGTATGCCATTGAACTAATTTGGCCGCGTATTGAAATACGCGCAAAGTATTCCCTCGAGGCACTATTTCAACACATTCAAACAACAAATCTGTCCGCGTGCAGAGCCGATGGCGTAAACTGACGAACCTGTACACCCATTTTAATCATAATCGCTGGTTGGGTACACATACAAGAATCAACTGTGACGATGCACAGCTGAATCACGGTCTTTCGATTTCTTCTAATTCGGTTTGGCAGCCTGCTGTTTATGCGAGACTTATTACGTGTATTTGTCTCACCGACAGTAGAAATATGAGTATGACAGAAAACACTTTATTTTTAGTGGGCTGCGATAACTCGGTATACAATGTTTGTTGCTGTTGAATGACGCGAATCAAATGAGTCGGTATGTTGCATACAGTACAACGACAAACGCGTCGGGAAGGGAACGTTTTCTACGAGAAACTCCTCTTTCGTTTCATGCGGGAAATTCACGCGCGATCTACCGATCACGGTCATCCGTGTAGATCGAACTAGGGATGAATAATAACAATTTACGAATGTTACATTTTATTCGACAAATATTGACGAACTGCTGTTCTAGAAGTGAATTTTGATCAGTTTGCCTATCGATCTATGGAAATGGCCACAAACGATTCTTTGAAATAGCGATTCTTGACCTTGCACACCTCGGATCATTGATCGATCCTTCAGAGATATTGTATCGCCTTCGGTAATGCATGCTTTCCTGGTCGGACAATTTACAGTTCCTTCGAGTGACGCAAGACGTGTTCTCGACTACCGCACGTACACACGTATTTGACCCTAGTTAATGGAATTCTAAGCATTCAATTAATATGCCCTTAGTACCTATCGGATAATTAAACGATACTTAGATTCTACGCTATGATAGGCACTAGTTGTACATTTAAACGAGTACCGTTATCAACTTTCGGATGCAATGTAATCGTTACGAATATATCCTTCACGAAATTCCAATACGTCGCCTCTTCTATCGTCACGCATTTTTTAACGAGGAATATTTGAATACAATATGAAATTCGAAAAGTTGTCTGGTAACGAGTAGAATATAATTATAGTAATAGTCATTTTGTATTTCGTGACGTTTTCGTTACATCGTAAACAAACGTAAATAACGTACGATTAAAAAGAGAAGCTTATCTGCTTCGCTATTTTGCCTAACCCTCAAACAAATACATATGTACATGTATGTAAATACTTACCGAGTAGTATATCTCTTAAAGATACGGGACAACCCTGTGTGTGCTCAAATACGTAACGTTCTGTAAAAATAACCACGGCAAACGGTATGAATAAACAAGTGGTGTGCGAAATAAAAGAAGGGGTCTACAAAAAGATTCGTAAATATAAATAAATAAATACGTATCATTGCATGTTCGTTGCTTGATCCGATTCTTGAACGGTTCTCAGTTTATACTCTATCGAATGTCCAAACTGTCAACTATACGTAATCGTCAACAGGTGGATTTTCCCCTCATACATTCCCAAATATCGTAAAGCGCGTTTACAGATAAGCAGTTTCGCGTGTACGTAGTCTTATTGACCCTCGCAGCGATGCTCATGATAGGATCGTGCAGTGGTATTGTAATAAGATTAATCAACGAACTTACACTTACTCTCGCTGATTCCTTTGCTTCAACCTACATCTTCGCTTGGCCGTCTTCACGAAAAACGCGAATCGATTGGAAACAAATGATCGAATTCGAATAGCCATCGAGATAGTTACGGTACGGCGGTAACAATTGAGAACACTTGCTAACCTAACCGATGATTGGTTGAACTGGAAGGCGTGTCACGCATAAGGCGCGTCACCTGTCGGTATTCTTTCGATTCTCGAGATGTGTAATTCTGTCTGACGCAATCGGACATGAAAATTACGGTAGATCGAATTCAAAAATGAAATATAGGAAGAATTAGAGATTGTTCGTGGAAAAAGATAAGCAACTTCTGGTTGTTTATTCGATGTCGTATCACGAATGACACGTCAGAATAAATTGGAGAGGTTATTTTATTTCTTCCAAATGACTAATGTAAATTTCTAATCGCGCATAAAACGTTAATACCAGCGTTTACGCGTATCGAGAATCAAAGTTTAGACGAAAGTATTCATTAATATTACAGTACGGGGATTAATTATAATACACTAGTGCGTCAGCAGTGAATTGAACTCACTACACGTCCATCGCATACCCAAGTACCATGTGTACGTGTATAGGTAGATACATATATATCCTACGTGTCACGTGTCACGTGTCACGTTTTCTGATCGTTTAAAATTCATACCTTCCATACCGGAACGCTGAACTGGATATTCCTTTCGAATATGTAGATACAAGGTAATGAAATTATTTGTACATATATTTAATTGTATAATTACAATATGCATTCGAAGGTTAGAGTTCAGAATCGAATATTTTTAAATCTGAGGCCCGACGGACGCCATTGCTGCGAAGCAATGTAACATAATTTGAAATGTAAATAATTGTTTTACGACGTCAGCGCGCCAAGGGAAATGACTTTGAGTTTTTACGCTCGTGTACTTTTCGAAGGCTTCCAACATTTTAATACTCATAAATCGTTCACGGCTTATAAACTTTCTACTTTTCTTGGATAAATGAATATTTTCCAATGAAATGATAAAACCACGTAACTTTCTAATAATTAATATTAAATTGTGTTTATACCTTTGCTCAGTCCGTTGAGATTTCACGTCACTTTAATTGAAATGAATTCGTTCTGTAATGTTTCGTCGAACGAACAAAGTATGGAATCCAAATTCGAACATGTTTGCATGTTGCGACATTAAAAGAGTAATAGAGGAGAAAAAAAAGGAACGAGAGAGACTGATTGTTGTTGGGGGCTCGCCATCTGCCGAGCAGTGACGTTGCGTACATAGGTTGTGCATCGAGCGTAAAGCCATCGTCCGTTGCCCAAGCTACAGCGCCATTTCCTTACCTGAGATAAGATAGTCAAGTGCGTTTTCAAAGTTGCTTGCATGTATATCTGATTTATTTTTCTTTCTACTTAAATAGACCGGTAAACGATGAACAATCGAATATGCATCGCAGCCATCCTTTCTTCTAGAATTCGCATTATCGTCGGTTATTTGCACGATTGAAAAGAGGTTAGGAAACTTGCACGGTACAGTTGAATTTACCCAATGATGAAACGGATTACACTTTTCTCGTCAATTTTTCTCACCGACTCTTTTCAGGTAGATGTTTACAATAAAAATTCGATTTAAAATACTTGACGTGAAATGTTTTTGTATTTTCTAAAGCACTCGAAATCGTATTGTTTGTAACTAACGGAGTCAAGAAAACTCCTAGCAACGGGCAGTACACGTTTCCAACATTTTCCCAACGAGTTTTCCTTATCGTTTTCAGTTCGCATATGTATACCAATTGTTTGTAAGCAACATCGGTGTTTTAACAATTATTAGAAAACTTTCCATCATCGGTGTTTTCCTATCGGTTAACGTATTGCTAAAAATCTATTATCGACGTCGCGAGCGTCGAGTGAATTCGGAATGATATGTCTCGGTTTGATGTACCCTGGAAATATGTCCTATAAAAGTACAATTGATATCGATCTAGCGGTACATAAACGTTTGTCCCATATAAGAATCTGTAGAGGCGCAGGCTCGTCAAAAAGAGCCGAAACCAGGAATCAGTATGCCTCCTACCGGACGCGGATTCACGTATACCCAGTTAAGGAGCGTCATTTCACATTATTTTTTACGTACCGAGAGATACGTAGTAAATGTTTGCAACATTTTAAACGCGTCGAATAAAAGAAGCATGTAATCGATCATAGACATAAAGCATAGACGATTTAGTGTGCGCGTGAAAGAGCCCATCTTCAAATTGATCGCAACATATATTTATAGAAACATATACATATAGTATATCTTTAATGGATATATTACGTAAATCTTGGACCTCGTGGAATACGATTCGTACAGATACGAACCATAGAATCGCCATAAATGTAAGAGTATTGCACAATATTAAAATACGGATAACGTTTGAGGTTAATTACTTGTCAAGCGACAAGAATTACGTGTCAACGGTCAAAGGTCGATTCGAATGTATATCGGTCCTGTCTGTGAAGATTTCGAGCAGCACATATGAAAAGTACACCGTATCTCTCGCGCGAATCGAGTCTTTAATTCTGTGATCGTTGTGAAAGCCAAGTTTTCTTATTCAACGGAAACATGAAAATTCAATCGACTTTGAAAGTTTTGCGGTTGGGTTCGTACAGAACGACGAGTTCCAACACCTGCGCGATGGAACGCGTTTCAATCGTTTCGGACGCAGTTCGTGTACCGTTTAGTTTCGGATCGAGTAAAAAATTTGTAAATATGTTAAACGTGACATGTGAACGTTTCCTCGGGTCGGGTTGGGTTGGGTCGAGTAGAAACACGCGAAACACGCGAAACACGCGAAACACGCGAAACACGCGAAACACGCGGGACACGCGAAACTTGGCGGAAGCAATGCAACGAATTCGTTTCGTCAGATGAATCGTCGTGATTGTTTTCAGAAAACGCGGGATCGATTCGCAGAATCCTGTGGTAGGAATCCGAGATGAAGCAATCGCAGGTACCGGATTGCAATGAGAGGTGTAAGCAAGGGTCGGTGAATTTTCGCGCTTGCGCTTGAAAATCTAGGGGGCAGCTTGTAGGGAAGGTCGTTCGCGTATCCAGAGGGTATAAGCGTACGAGAATCGAACCCGCATTCTCAGAATAGAGAGTCGAGCCCGCGTTTTCTTCGTTCAGGTAATCGTCGGTGAGTATATACGTAGAATTCTGCTGATCGAGCCCCGTCTTCCATTCACGCGCGTTCGCGGTCGCGGTCGCGGTCACGGTTCCGGTTCCTTTGTCTCTCTACAAATTTCTTTGGAAATCCGAGTCGTTGGATAAGCGTATTAGGATCGTATAGACCGATCATACGTGTGCGTTAATAATGACAGTTGTTATACAATCCTCGACACCGGGTTACAGCCATAAGTCGAAGGCTGAGGTTCGATGTCGAAACAGAATTGTTTGCTTTTGATTTTTTCTGTGAGAAACCGCTCGAAACTAACGACGAAAATTACGAGTGCGATCGTTGGACGTTGCTTCTGACTGTTCTCTTGATGGATTGTCGGTAGTTTCCAAGTGTTCTTTTTTTCCTCTCGACAAACATGTTTCGGAGCTGTGGTTAGTTGTGTGCCAGTGAACAATATTAATGTACGGCGAGATAAATATTCTGAGACCGGAGTCGGGGTAAACGTACGGTTATCTAATAGTTCCGTCGACAGTGAATTAAACGTTTCGCGTGAATGTCAGTTGAAACAATTATTGCTATTGTTGGTATAGATATTGCGTGTCCGCTGTGCGAGACGGCTGACGAGAGGCCAAATAATCGGTGCAGGTAAACACGCACGTGTCGCCAGATTTTCGCTTTTCATGCAGAATCTATGCTTTTCTTTTTATCGATTTGTTGTCGTCGTTGTTGCTGTTGGCACGGGCAGCATATGGTATGTTTACATATATCGATACACATTTGGAATTTTTCCTGATCGTTTTGTTTTCCTTCGGACAGCTGTTGTATAGGTAATTGAAGACATTGCCTACTTACACGAAGTTTCACATTGATCGATTAACCGCTGATGTCTTCGCATGATCGAGTAACAAAAAATCATATGAGCATCCATGTTTGCGATCGTCCAAGTGACTCCCACGTAGAGAAAGTTAGCTATAGACTTTGTCAGATTTGAAAACTGTAGTGTAACTACGATTACCGTTGCGAAACGTTCATCGAGGGGTGGAAGCTGTTGGAGTAGTCGAATACTCGTAATATTTTATATTTTATTAAAATAAAATAATTTCCCGATCTAACAAATAAAGATATTATGTTGTTCGCATCGATCGCGAGCAGAAATGTTAGTAGAAACTTCGTACGCGTACACGCGTGAAGTTCGGTAGGTTTGCCGATAACCTTCCCGCGAACATTTTACTGATTATCATAATTACTATCTCTCATTTGCTCTTTTTCATGGTTATTTCGACATTACAAGTACTCTCGTGTTTCGGTATATAATACTGGTCAAGTGGATTAAGATTACTCGGAAAGATCGGTAGGATCGATCGGATCGCGTTTGATTCATTGTCGTTAAACCTAGTCAAGATCACTGTTGATTGCGAAAATAAAATGACGTATTACGTTAGAAGAGTGCGTTTCAACGACCTCGCTCGTCCTTCCTCTACCGATCACGATCGGAGTTCGGCGGAGGTTTGCTCACGCTTGCAGTTGCGGTTTACGAGGTTGCTCTTTGGGTTGCAATGTTTCCTCGATTCGTACATAGGTGTACGAAAAATGTAGATTATCTTTTCTTCCGGGAACGCGAATCTCCAATTCCAGCGCAACATTTCCAATAAAATACTCGGGAATACTTGAGTCACGAATCGCATTTTTAAAGCGAATATAACACGTCATGTAAGGCGAATTGTGTGTAATCGATGGTTAATTTTTCAAGCAGCGCGCACGATGGCAGCTACGGAAGACAAGGTATCGTGTGCGATCGAGAAACTAAAAGAATCTAATCACGTTTTAATCGCTTCAACTAACGCTTTTACTTTAGCCGGACAATGAAATTCAGGAGCAGGCTACGACGCCGACCGCTCTAACTCAGGCGCAGAAGGTAACCAAAATTCACAGAAATACATTTACAAATATTATCAGTCCGTCTTATCTTTCCACTGTACGTGTTTGCTTTTTTTTACACGCAGTCTACCACGGAGGATAAGCGGTTGGTAAGTATACGAGATGTTCCGAGTCAAATTTCAAACCGTGAATTTCAAGGCAAACACCTATTAACGCCCGAGGCGTGGAGCGTCCGCCTTGCGTTTTAGTTGTAATCGTCGAATAAAATAGCGTACAATAACACTATAACTGCATCGAAGGGATGGAAACGGGTCGCGACGCTTATCGCAGTTCCATTTCATCGAGCTTCCCGCGATAGTGCAATTACGATTTGTCGCGGCTGGGGAAGACGAATGAACTCGTCGGGCGACTTTTGAACAATCGTCGTTGCGTCCGCTAAAGCATCGAGAGGCACTCGACGTCGCTCCGCGTCTCGTGACGCGACTGAAACCCTCGATCGCGACTCGCGAGTTC